TACCTATATGCACATGAAATGTAGTTTTTATTGACAGGCTAATCTTGCATTGGGAAATGTGCTATGAAAAAAATTCCAGACCATGGATCAGTTATAAAGTTTTTTTTGAATGCATTACTTAATGTTTTAAAATTAAAGCAAAAATAAACTTAAAGTGTTTGTCCATTTCTTAAACATAGGCACGGAAGACGAGCAAGAGTTTTTTTTTTTTTTTGTGAAGTCTCGGAGATAGGAGCATTCATGGAACTGTTTACAAAAAAGATTTTGTTAATTTGACAAGTTTTTTGTGGGTGCGATGTACAGGAAGAAAGAAACTGGGAATTTATGATGTACATACGATGTTACATCGGTAATGGTAAGATAGCTAAATAGTAAGCCATAAAATGTTTGACTGAACAAACTACAGTAATCTGACACGTCTCCAGATTAATGCAGATACCATCTTATTTTTTTCTTTGGTTCGTTCTTTGATAATACCCACACTGTAATTGGTGTGACACGTGCATATGCATAACTCCCCCACTCACCGATCACATAGCCCTTCCAACCCCCAAGAGGAATTTTTGCTCAAAAATACTCAAGTTAAGAGACCTTTTTGCATTTTATACGAGTCGTAAGTTTACCCTTTTCACACAACACAACACAACACAACAACACTACTTCACCGAAAATAGAAAGAAAGAGAAAAAAAAACTCTCTTACACATTGAAAGTCTGATTTAATTAAATTGCACTTTAACTTGGTGCCAAGCAGTCTTCAAAGAACATTTGAGCAGTTTTGATACTTTTTACCTTTAAAAATATCGGACTGAAAAGAGTGTCATAAAATGCCCATCAAATGAAAATAAACTGCCACTGCAGAGACGTAAAAACCGTTCAGAAATGAAAGTTTTTTTTGTTAATATCCTGGGAACAATAGCCGATAACTTGTCAGCTCTAATTGGATTTACTCCCTTATGAAAAACAAGAGTGTGAAATTACCCTTTCTAACTAAAAAATAAAAACATCTCGTTATATTGGCATGCAACAAGAACAAAAAAATCGTTACCTGCACTTACTATTGTAAACGTTAGAACTGCTTCAAATCTGTTTCAAACCTCAAGGCTCATCTCGTTCGTAACTAAAATCCTCAACCTAACCTACAGAAAATGTCGAAGTAAGCCCAACATATGAATACTTCTCCTCTTTTATCGAAGAATAAATATGGCCATTCTAAACTGTGTCGGGATCAAATCTTCTCGCATACCATTTACCTTTACAACAAGAAATTTGATTGGCTGTTTATAGTACATCCAATCTGATTGGT